AGGGCAGCCATTCCTGGGGCTTGGGGACTTGCAAACTGGCTGGCGTGGGCAGACTTGAACCCAAGGCAGGGGGTCTTACATCTTCCAAGCCTGGAGCTCTCCCGGTGGCTCTCCGGAGGGGGCTGTTTCCGTTGGCAGAGACGGAGAGGTGAACGGCAGGGAGTGTCCAGGCCCCCCTGCTTGGTGGTCTCGCTGAAGCTGACTAGCTGAGAAGGGGACTCTGGGCAGCTCAAGCAGCTGTTACGGGTCCAGCTGGCATCTTCACGCCCTGGGGGGGCCTGGTCCAGGCTCCCCCCCCTGCCCCGGGCATAGTCTGTAGACCCCTCCTCCCAGACCCCCCCCTTACCTCCTTGGGTCTCTGCTGGTTCCCGGGAGGGCCTACAACTGCAGAGCGGTTCTGCTGAGTGCCCTCTTGCACGTGGATGCAGGGACCCCCAGGCAGCCCTCGTGGAACATGCCCTTGGGTGGCACAGGCACAAACAACACAAGGGGCGGCTGGTGGCAGGTGGGGAGGGGTCCCTTTGGAGGGGGGGTGAGCCCAGGCCGTGGCCTTCTCAGTGCTTTCATCCCTCCCCCACACACAAAAGATCCCGGAGCAGGAACGACAGGCAGGTGGCGTTGGCAGGAGTGCCCAGAGGGGCCGTGGCATGCTCTGCCCTCCCCCCCCCGCCCCACCAGGTGCCCTTTTGCCTCCCCAGGAACGAGCTGAGCGAGCACCTGGAGACCATCGATTCCAGCCTGGACCACCTGCAGACCATGCTGACCACCCACAGCTTCAGCGTGGACACCAGCGCCCTGCTGGACGTAAGGCCTCCCCTGGGAGCCCTGGGCAGGGGTTGGGCTTTGGGGTGAGGGGACCCTCCTCCCTAACCCTGGCTCCCCTCCCCTTCCGACAGCTCTTCAGCCCTTCCATGGGGGTGACGGACATGAACCTGCCGGATCTGGACAGCAGCTTGGCCAGCGTGAGTCTGCCTTTGCAGAGACCCCCTCCTCCCCCCCCCAGCAGGCCCTGATCAGCCCCTTCGAGCCCAGCCCCCTCTGTCCTCCCTTGCTCACAGGGGGGGGCTTCTTTCCCTTCGGAGAAGGCTGACCTCTGGTCTTTCCAGCCGCTGACCGGATAGATGTGACCGTTGCTTATAGGCCAGTCGCCAGAGGCTTCCCTCTCCGTGGGGGTCCCTGGGGGCACGCTCATCGCCCCCCCACCACCAGGAAGTGACCCATGGCCAAAGGGGGTCCTGCTCTAAGCAGGAGGGAGGAAGGAAAGGATGTGGGGGAGGGGGCTGTGTTTCCCCAGATCAGGGCGGGCAGGTGGTCTCTTGCCTGGGGGAACCTGTGAGGGAGGGGTCTGCCCTCAGGCTGCCCCCCCTCCACAAACACACCCTGGCCTCTCACCCCTGGGGGGCCCTTTTGCAGATCCAGGAGCTCCTCTCCTCGCAGGAGCCGCAGAAGCCAGCCGAGGGGGAAGACGCCACGGCAGACGCAGGTGGGCACCGGGCTCTGAATGCTGGTCCCGAGCGTAGCCCAGCACGGGGGGGGGCAGCTGGGGCAGGGGGCACATTGTCTGGGAAGACCCCGGGTGGCCCCAGGGCGGGCAAGCGGAAAGGTCTGTATGCGCCCGTCGCCCCCTGCCCTGTGGAGGACCCTCTGGGGCAGGGCTGGGCAGCCTTCACTGCCCCTTTGCCAGCCGTGGACTTCAGCTCCCAGAATTCCTGAGCCAGCGTGGCTGCATTGGGGTCCACGGGTGGAGAGGTTCTCCTGCCTCTCCAGCCCTGCCGTGGGGGCTCCTGGGGCCACTGGAGGCTGCCTTCCCCTCTGATCCGAGTTCCCCCCCTCCCCTTTCTCTGCCTTGCCAGGCAAACAGTTGGTGCATTACACGGCCCAGCCCCTCTTCCTGGTGGACTCCAACACGGTGGACGTGGGCAGTGCGGACGTGCCCATCTTCTTCGAGCTGGGGGAAGGACCCGGCTTCCCCGAGGGAGAGGATGGCTTGGAGGACCCCAGCCTCTCTCTGCTCTCTGGGACGGAGCACCCCAAGCCCCAGGACCCCGCGGTCTCCTAAGGCCGAGCTCAGCTGGGAAGGCCTGCCGCGGCCTCCCTCTGCCCTGCCCGGCGGGGGCCAGCTCCTTCGGGACAAGAGGGCCGTTGTGCGCACGCTTCCCACGGGGGGTGTTGTGGGGCCGGCTTTGGAGAGAGCGGCCCGGGGCAGCACCGGGCTCGGAGGGGCGTGGCTGGGGCCGTGGGGGCCACGGGACGTTCGCCTCCGCTGCTCGCCAGGCCTCCTCGCCTGCGTGGCGGTCCCACCCTCCTGGCCTGTCCGAGAGACTCCGTGGCTCCTCCAAGCAGCGGCCGAAGGCTGGAAGGGGGGGGACCTCTGGGGTACGGCTGCAGCCCTGCCTCCTGGGGACCCCCGCAAGAAGGTTCCCCACCCGCCACTTTCCCCCCGTGGGGTTTTATTTTATTTCCCTTGGCTTAGCAGTGAAGGGTTTGTACATTTACATTTTGATTGTTACTAGAAAAATTGTATTTTGAATTTTTACATAAGAGAAGACGCTCCCTGCCCCTCCCTCTCTCTTCTCTCACAATATAAATATCTATATATACGTGCTCAAATATATCTATATCTCTACGGAACGGCCCCTCCCGGTATCCGCTTTGTCGCCTCGGACACCCTTCTCCTGGAGTTCTGGGGGGGTTTGGGAACGGCTGGCTCTTTGGGGGAGCTTCTGAGAAGGCCGGCCCAGCGGGGGGGGCCTGGTCCCAATCCAACAGCCTCCTTGGGAATAACCTCCCCCCCCGGTGTCCTTGGTTTACTCTTTTGGGGTCTGCATCCCGAGCCCACCGCCCTCTTCCCTCAAGCCTGGGGCGTCTAACTTGCCCCACTGCGTCTCTGAGAAGTTCCTGCAGAATCCTCTGCTGCCCCCCCTTCAAGGATTCTGGCAAAGGGGCGCCCCCCCGGCACTCAGGGGTCACGGAAGTGGGAGCCAGGCTCCTCCCCTCTCGGTGCAATCCCAGCTTTCCCAGACTAACTGCCCACCTGCGGCCTCTGGCCGTGGGGCACTTCGTTGCCTCTTCCATGGGCCAGGCTGGCAGGTGCCCCCCCCCAGCAGGAAGGGCGGCAGGCGGGTGCATCCCTGGGCAGCCTATCCGAAGGGAGCCTCCGCCGGTTCCAGGTTCCCAGCCGCCTTTCCCGTCCTCGGGTCTGCCTAACCCTGGACGCCCAGCGCCATCCTGAGACCGCTCCGGAGGAGGCCCGGCCTTGCCTTGCCTGGCTGGGCTCTGCCCTTCGGCCCCTGCAGCCCATCGCAGCTGCCAGGAAAGCAGGGTGCTGGGCCGAGACACTGCGGCAAGGGGGGGCTCCCTTGTGATCCCCCTTCGGGCAGCCCTGGAGCCCCTCGGTGGCCCCTTCAGCAAAGGAGCCCAGCCTGCCTTCAGCCCTCTCTTTTTGGAAGCGAAGAGAAGAGCTGGGTCGGCCCATGGCTCCCATCCCATGAAGACCTGGGCCGTCTTAGTCCCTCAGCCCCCCCCCAGGGGGCAGCTGGGCCCGAGGGAGCAGGGGGAGGGCCCCGGGCCCCTTCAGGGCCGATCTGGAGGGGGAAGCGTGAGGGTCCGGCCTGCCCAAGGGAGCCACAGCGCTTGGGAAGGGATGTTGGTGAAGGGCGAGCCTCACCTGGAGGCCCATCACGGAGCCTCTTGGGATGAGGAGCTGCGTGTGGCTGTTCCTTAGCCCCCCCCCACTCAAACCCCCTCCCCCCTTGCAGTTGGAGGGGCCTGGCCTGGCCAGGATTCACGGCCCTTTTTTAACTCGCGGGGCAGGGTTTGTGGCCACCACCTCAGTGGGCAAACCTGGACAGTGTGTGATGCAAGAGGACGGCAGAACTCGGAGGGCCCCCTTTCCCTCCACAGAAGCCCACTCCCCTGCATCACAGGCCACGGTGTGGCCACGAGTTCCACATGCTGGGGATCTGAGGGCAAAATCTCGGATCAGGATGTCCCCTTATCCCCCTCCCAAGGGCTGTTAGGTGGGCCTTGCCAGGCTGTGGGGTGGGTGCCCATGGGGGGGGGCACAGGATAGCACCTTCCTGGCTAGGGAGTGGGGGGCAACACTGAGACCGACAGCGGTTTGTACGTCTTTATTGGTTACAAAGGCTGCGCGTCTTACAGAAGGGGAGGGGCTCAACGAGCAGCCAGCAAGAGCAAAGGCAGAGCCCACCACCACCTCTACAGGGGTCAAGGGAAGACCTAGAGCACATGCACACACACACACACACACACAAAAAAAAAAAACAGG